GAATTTTAATGCTGTAAGATGCTTATCGCCGTGCCGCCGGAGTGTGAGACAAGTTCACGATTAAAGTCTTATAAAAGTTCTATGCAGCTTTACTTTCGCTACGTTGAATTTAATTAAGATGCCTTGCCACATGTGAAAACTGAAATTCGTTTTCTTCACTCCTTAATCAAACCGAAAGCGAGTTTCCCCTCTTTTCGACCAATCAGACAGGCTTCTCGATCTTTTACCAAATTGACCCCTCTTGCTTTTCGAGCGAAAGCGCCAGGTTCTTAAACTGGAAAACTTACAGGAATTGAGATTCTTTGCCGCGCGTGCATACGACTTTTATTTTTATATGCCGAGTAGCTCACATTTGAAAGTATAATTTTTTTATTTGAAACTAACGAGTAAAACTATTGCTAGCTAATGAACCCCCTGGAGAGCGAAAGAGGTACGCGCGCGAATAACATTACTTACGGAAGACAACGTGACGTGGTGAGTGATATACTTACATAAATTTATGATGACACTTATTTATAATTTGCGAGAGAGTGACATATCAGTTGCGGAAGATAGGTTTTGAATTATAATGAAATGGAAAAATGTTTCCCGATCCTAATGCATGAACAAGAAGTAAAGAGAGGAAAACCCGATTACATGAGAACGACGGATTTCGGATAATCGAACGCTGATTAAATAGCGCCACGACAATCTGGAGCACTCGCGCGTATCCGAGAGGAAGGGTACAACGCTACGAATTCTCTCTATTTCTCGCTCTCTTGGATATTTTCCAACAAGCACGGAGGAATTGCCAGAGATTCGAATGCCCTTTTTTTTTATCAAATTATCAAGGCAAACGTAGGATAAATTTTCTGCCTAACGTTTTGTGACATTCGTATCAAGATTCAAACGTTTAAGCCGTCTGGTCGAAGAAAAATATTTCAATTAACCTTTTATCTCTGTTAGTTTCACAAGAGCAAGTAAAATTATAATGAATTGATCAAACCATACACTTTCGTGTACTATTAACATTAGCAAGTAAACGTCCTCGGAACTAAGTATCACGTAAATGATACCCATCGAGCAATAATCGTGGGTTTTCGAGCTTCATCTATAAATAGACTCAATCATTCTCAATTTCACTTGTTTCCCACTAAAAGAAACCAACGGAATTGATAAGTTAAATAAATTTGCTTATCGCGACTTGTGCTTAATGTGAGCAATTAATTCGCGTGTGGAATGGAACCGCGCTTCAAGTATACATTCCGTGTAACACCTAATTACATAGAAAATCCCGTGGTTTCTCTGACGCGTATTATTCTAGGCGCGTCGGCGGTGACAGACAGAAAGATGCCAAGGGTCTATGTGTGCGTGCATCTATCATGCACGTGCTGTTACGCGCCGCATGCTCGAGCAATTAACGACCTTTATTTCCAGCTGGCTTCTCTTACTCTTAAGTGGAGCACTTTCACTGACGACGATGTGCGCGCTCGATTTACAACGAATTCATTAATCGACCGGAATACCTTTTTCTTTCTTTTTTTCGAGTGCGTACGCTTCTACCCATCCCATCGCATTAAGGGATTTTAACGACGAGCTCATATTGTTGGCAAATAAACGACGCATTCACGATGGTTGATTTGTACTTTATCGGATTTTTTTTTTCTTCTTTTTTAATGCCATCGACGCGATCGTTCCTCGTGCGTCAAAATCACAAAGTGTATCCATATTAAGGAAGTGAAAGTGTATGAAAAAAAAAACAAAATACGTATACATGTTATCTTATTATGCTCATACCAATCATCGTCCCTCATTAGCGCTACAAAATTTTTTCGCGTAAATATTGACGGTATCGTCGTTCAGGTCGGATAATTTTACGTTCTCGCGGAAAAAAAAAACATTTTCTCTTCGAAATTGAGTTTTCACTGCCATATTGAGTTGAGTCGATAATTTTCCAAGATGACTCGTTACTCGGTCATCGCTCAACTCACTCCACTTCCCTCGACATTAACTATCTCGTTAAATCTCGCTAAACGATCGAGCACTCGGAAGAGTGTGTGCAGCATGCATCGTGGCAACGGCGAGACGAGCGCAGCTATTGTTCGTGAAAGAAAAAATCCACATTCGCAATTATATGTATCTTGCATTATGGATCGCACTTCCGCGCAAAGTCACTCAGTCACGTGGCGGCGTTTTCTCTTTTTTATTCCAAGACCTTAATTTAATATTGCAAGCGCACGGCGAGTCGGCGATCATTAAAGCGAGAGCTGAAAATATGAATGATTACCGCAAGCTGCCCCTGAAGGCGGAACTATCGCTGCGAGAACATCGCGGCCGAGAAAGAAGATTTAGTAAGAAAGTATAGAGGATATATGAAACCCCCAAATACTTGAGATATATAGGCAAACTTTGAAAATCAGACGCAAAGAATTATGGCCTGCAATAAGATACCACGCACGCGTACTTGCCAGGGTACAACGCAGGTTGTAAACAAACTTGCGAAGGCGTCGAAATTATTTTTCAACATTATACGCGTATTTTTCATACCGTTGCGCTTCGAAGACGCTCGTTAAAAAAGCGAAAATTAATCGTGTTCGACGCAGCCGCAATCGAAAGAAAATTGAAAAAGCTCCGTCGAGCAAATGCAAAGAGGCATTCGGCGTGGTCGCGCATTGAGAAACGACGCCGCAGGTGGAATTGCGTCATGCGCGCCACGCGACATTCGCCGACTGTGTATACCGCACCGCGGCGCCGCTTCTACGCGTAAACCGCTAACGACTTTTTTTGCTTTTATCTGCAATGCGAGATGCAGCTCGCGCAAATGGCCCTATTTATTTACTCAGAAAATAACCCGATTTTCCTCGCAGCGGAAGGTCGAATCGATCCTTTCGAAGTCGGTAATGTTCCGAGCAAACAATCAACCGCCTGTTTACACCGAGCAAACGCAATTAAAACTATCACGAGCGCGGGCTCTAAAACTGCGGCCGAAGTCAGCGAGGAGAGGCAAGAAAGAGAACTCTCGTAGTATTAGAAAACTGAATCAGAAAATTTCATTGCGTCCCACGAGTAAAATCCACGATTAAAATGCACTATTACGAGAGTCCTTTGGGCGTTTTGTTTATCTTCCTCGGTCGAGCGTTAACCTTTCCTCGCGTATAATTGCAGTTATAACTTGTACTGTCGGCGACATTCTCCCGACTCGCGCGGTGAGTTTAATGGAATCTCAGCGTTCCCTGAAGCTCAAAAGCCTTTATACGCGCTGCCGCTGCATTGTTCATTGTTCATCGTCGATTCTTTTAGAAATCGCGCTTTTAATTTGCGCTCTCGTTACGGCGCCTTTTCACTCGACAGAGCCGCTCCATGTGAAGATTCGGAAATGAACGGCTTCGCTAAATGAAATTGCCGGCAATTAGAGAGAAAGAGAGAAAGATGATGCGCGCACGCAAGTTCGACGATGGAGCATTATGCAAGATGAGCCGATTGTTAGCTTACTCCCCTCGACGAGCATCGCGGAGCCGTCGCGGCGCGCGTGAAAGTTTCAAGCTGCTCTGAATAATTATCAGCGCTACTTGCTTCAATGATCGGCTTTTTAACTTGGTTTCACACGGATGTTGAGTTTGAATTCGTGTTATGGCCACGAAAACCAACTACGCGCAAGTCGGATCAGCGCAAGTGTTAAAGTCTTTGAATGTTATCGCATGCTCATTAATCAATTACACGTGCGAATGCCGATCGATTCCCGATAAATATGTGCGGCAAAATCGCAAAGAAAGCCAACCTGCGACCATAGATTTATCACGTGCCGTAATATGGAAAATGTGCGAAAATTCGAAAGTTGTGCCAATGCTCTCTCGCGCTACCTCGGTGCCACTAACATTCGAGACCAATAATTTTCTCACGCTTGTAAAAATCCTTTCCACGAGTTAGGTATACGCGTGCGCGCGCGGAAAAAAAACTCTCGATTGACCTCGCTGCCGTTGTCAAAGTTTTAGCGAAACAACTTGCCGACGGCGTTTAAACGTACTGTAAATCTCTCTCGTGCAGTTTGCCGCGTGCAATGTAATGTAAACGCAAGTTAAATTTACGCGCACATCTATTGGATTTTGAGCGAGGGAGAGGACATGGCTTATACACGCGTGCGTTGAAAGAATGAGAGAACTTGTCGTAGAGCTTGTAGAGCGTAACTTTGAAACTGATTAGTCGGCTCACTCCCAAAGGCATTCGCGCGGAGACAGAGAGAGAGAGAGAGAGAGAGAAAGAACTCGCTCACTGCTGCTATACGTCGAATGGGAAATTATACTCCTGTCGTAGTCGTAGTAGTCGACGAACGTTTCAACGGCATTCAGATGCCATTTTTACAATTTACATCTTAATGAAGTACATAGTTAAAGTTTGGTGAAAATAGCGAACTAACGAGGTTAAATTAATTTCGTTAATTAGGCGTGCCCCTCGTGTTCTTATAGACAAGTTATATGTGTAAACCCTCTTTAGTTTCACGTTAGTGCTACCAGCTTACGTAACGCAACGCAGTACATGCGCCAGATATTAATTTCGTAATTATCAAGTTTACGTTTACTTTAGATGTCAAAGCTACCTATGTGCATTTTTTTAAAATCAAGTTCGCGAATATTTCAAATATAGCGTAAATCTGGTTAACAATTTTTTTTTTTAATGAATGAGATAAATGCCAAGACTAATCATTCTTTTTCAATCGATATATCGGCATAAAGTGAATCCAAGCTCATTCGCACAAGCACGCGGAATTAGAAAGTATGCAGCAGAAGTAATACGAACAAGAATTGCTTTAGTATCCATATAAACGTATTGGAATTGCCATCGATACATGGCCATAGTAATCTACTAAAATGTTATTTTTTTTACAAGCAAGGAATGAGTGTACTCAAGGAGCATCTGTAAAATACGGTAGATGCGCGTGCCGACGAGTATACTATGCACGTAATCAGCTAATTCTTCTCTTATTATAACTTCGTCTCTTTTTATTTTCCAGGACACAACGTTAGCGCCCACAGTCCCATGAGCTGGCACGATGAACTTGGTAGCGACGTTATTTTGTAAGAACTTTCAACATTCCATCGAAGTATTCTCATTCTTTCCTTTTGAGATTGTACAGGAGGAGCCGTATTACGCGAGTGACTTTTTATGGCCATGTTGTGTAAAAAAGAAAAAAACTTTCGTGGTTTGCGATGTTAAGAATAAAGTAGTTTGGAGCGTGTAGGCTATAATTGGAGACATAATACCGCTTCGTTATTGTATTACACGTACAAGAAACACGACTTAAAAATTCGTTTGATTAAAACTTCTTTCTCGATCAGTCAATTGTCCTTAATCCTCATAATACCTCCACTAACCGCTATCACTTGTAATTAACCGCTCCAAGACCCCTACTAAGAAACAAAACAATTAGAGCGTGAAATATTGCTCTCCTAATAACATTATCGCAACCTGTCGCAACAACTCACATGAGACCCCAAAAACTTGCAGGTGCAGTGACGACATTGCTGTCGGTTCAGGCAATCACCGTATCGGTTGACCGTGCCGACGTACGCCCAGTCACACTCGTAAGTATTTATCGTTGCAAGTGCTATTAAACGCACATGCGAGGCATTATACGTGTGCCCAATTAATGATTTCATTTCGTTTCGGGTCGCAGCCTACAAATAATGGCGAATCGATGCTGATTAACGGTTGGCGTCCATTGACCAGCAGCTATGACAACATTGGCGTCAATGTGTCGCCCTCGAGTCAACTGGATCGCAGCTTTGCGCCACTCCACCCCGTACTTGGCAAACTTCAGGAGCATATGGCCGTATCCGAGAGATTGAAGCCACAAAAGTCACAGTTCGATTTTAATCCACCCAGTATCCTTGGAAGTTTTACCGTTTTCAGCGCTAAGCAGCGACTCGAGGGTACAGACCCAAAGACTCTATCTACCGAGAGAGAATATTCTTTCCTTGTACCACCACCGAGGGATGCCTTGAGATTTGAGTTGGAACCAACAAAGAAAACAGCAGCGCTGAGCGAGCCCTACGTGAGATCATCTCAGTTCATCCCGCAAGCTATCAAACCTGATCAGCGCACACCGACCTACTACATCAAACCAGCGAGTTTTTCAACCGCTGTTCACCCTTTCTCTCAAGCTCGTCCTTTCGTCAATCAATACAGCCTACAACAAGCTCTGCTGCCATCCAGACAGCCAGCCAAGCAATTCGAGAGCGTCAAAATTAACAACGAGAAGCCATTCTATCAGCAGCAACCTACCGCCGAAATCCCTAACAAAGCGGCCAACGAACAAAACTACGATCGATTTCAGCAGCACCAAGTATCGCCACAAGTAATCAATGGTAATTTCTACAATCAGATCAACCACCCAGCGCACTACAAGCAGTCGACTTTCGAGCGCGATCCTGGCTTCCTCGTGCACGAGAGCCACGAGGTCAGTTACGTCACCCCGTCGAGTGCTTTCAAGTTCCGACCGTCGTATCATTTTGACAATACCGTACCGCAAGAAGCCACGCCGCGCCCGGAATCCAACAAATTCACTGCGGCCCAGCAGCAGCAGAGCAGCGGTGCGAGTGCTCAACGTCCCGAGGGATTCAAGCAAGACAAGGGGCAGCGAGCGAATGCTTTCTACTTAACAGACTTCCAAAAGACGCGCTATACCTCGGACATCAACGAGGTCCTGCCGAAAACTAATCAGCCGGTCAAGTTTAATCAGGTGACTGCCACCTCAGCGCCGTATGTACCGAAGCTTGTCTATGTGAGACCGGAATTGCAACAGCAACAGCAATATCAGAGTTCAATCATACCGTTGAATATCAACCAACGTCCACCGGATGTTGAGTACGAGACTCCCGAAAGTGTTTCACTCAAACATTATAACGAGCAGCAATTCTTGTTGCAACAGCAACTTATACAGCAGGATAGGCAGAGATTAAGGGAGCAAGAGAAACGTAGGCAGCAGGAGCTGCAACGACAGCAGCAGGAAGAACTCTTGAAGAGGCAGCAAGAGATCAAGTTGTTGGAGCAGATGCAAAAGGAAAAGCAGCGTTTAGAGCACCAGCGTCTAGAGCAGCAGCGTCTAGAGCAGCAGCGTCTTGAGCAACAGCGTCTTGAACAGCAACAACAACAACGTCTCGAGCAGCAACAACAGCAGCGCCTGGAGCAACAGCGTCTTGAAAAACAACGCCTTGAACAGCAACGGTTGGAGCACCAACAGCAGCTGCACACAACCCAACCGGATATCGTGAAAGAACTTCCGCAAGTTCACTATGGTCAACCTTATTCTATGGAAAAGGACAGAGTTCCGATCGAACAGTACAAATATGTGCACCATCAACTACCACCGCAAGTGCCTTCGGAAGCACTATTCCACCCATCAAAAGAAATCACTCCGTTCAAACAAGTCACTGTTCAAAAGTTCGAGGAAGTGGTCACCCCAGGAGGTGCTCAGCCGACGACTCAAGAAGATTTCCAACCAGTGATACGCCCTTACCGCCCACAGAAGCCTATCAGGGATCAATACAGACGACGAAAACCAACGACAGTCGCATACGACACTGTGCCAACTGAAACGCCAGCAATCACTAGTCCTCAAACGCCACAGGATTTGACTGACGTACCCATACAGACAACCAGTCAATCCGAGATAACGACAGTACCGATGACCGAAAGAATTGTTCGTACACGACGACCTGGAGCTTCACTCAGACGACGAAGACCTTCGACCACCACCACTACTCCCGAGCCCAGCGTTTCTTCTCAGGAGTATGAGGAAGAATTAGTCAAGTATAATACTCCTGAGAATCAGGACTTTGAGAAAAAGAAACGCCCGAGACCAACGAGTCAAGAAAATACTTTCGATAAACGTCCTCTCAGGTAATTATAGAATTAATCAAATTTTCCGTTTTCTCGTTACTTCTTATCATGATGACGAACAGCATAGTACTAAATTTCGTTATTTAATTGAATTTCTATTTACAGAAAACGGCCCAATCAATCCGTCAAAGTGTACAACAAAGAACACGGCGAGTTCGATACGGTGCCAAAGAGAGTTGCAACAACGGAACAGCCATTTAGAGAAATTTCAGCGACAGATAATTACCCTGAACCGTTCTTGAAAGAATTATATTCATCCGAATACATTCCAACTTCGGAAAAAATAATAACCGTAGACAATCATCGGGAAGTCTCAACTGAAACCATTCCAATTGAATTTTACGAGACTACTATAGCATCGAACTTGGAGTACCAACCAACTCATGAAAATCGTCAAGAGCAGTTCACGCAGCAGAATGAGAATGAATCTTCTCTTGAACATTTGTTTACAAGAACGGAGGTAAAGGAATTTTCAAAATTATAAGTTAATATTTTTACGAACAATATAATAACTATTTACAAATTTCAGATGAACTATATTGAAACTACAACCGCTCCTCTGCAATCTACTTACCTGACGATACAAACCACAACCACAACGACTACGGAAGCTCCTACGACGACGACGACTAAAGCAACCATTGCCGTGCCAAAAGTAACTCAACGAACTCGAGCACGCTATGGCAATGCAACTCGGCCACGATTTAGCATAAAAGATTACAAGAGTAGAATGGAGTACAAAAACCGATTAGCTCAGTCTACATCGACGGAACCATCGACGGTAACCGTTGGAGCCAAAATTCGTGGCCACAAAAATCAACAAGCTCCTGCCGACCCGAATTTCAAAGAGCCCGCAGGACGGTACAAGTATATGTCGCGTTCGAGTTACCGAACGACCTTATCGACCACGCCAACGAGCCAACAAACCGACGATAATAGCTTCACGACCGAACGAGCGAATCGTTTCACCCCTAAGAAGAAGATAAATACCAGCCACTACTATAGAAGTCGAGTGACGACGTCAATGACCCCTAATAAATACGATCAAGAACATTCGGCTGCGCAAAGCACTGCCCGACCGGAGAACGTTTTTTCGTCGGCGATCCGTAAGAGGCCGACGCTGAAAAGTAGATTACCAGGAAAACCAGTGGCTACAGAAATGCAGTCAGCGGCGGAGACTGGCTCATTCGCCACTACGACGCTACCAGCCACCGATGCGGCCAACGAAATTGAAGCGCCCAAACAGGTTGAGCCGGAAAAGCCACAAGTCGACTTGAGCGATGTCACCATGGACGAGAGCGACGACAAAGCAAACGTTGAGCTACAACAACAGCAAACAGCTGCACCGATGACCACCGAAGCGTCTGCACCAAATCTCGCAGCCGATTCGACGACACCCTTTGATCTCAGACACGAGGAGGAACTATTTGCTAAAGCTTCGCAAAGCGTTGCCGACTTGACTAGCTCGGCTTCTGCGCTTTATAACAAACCTGGAATGTTCAAGGCTGTTTCGCCTTCTGGTGAGAATAGAGTTATATCGACTCATTTAAAAATTTCTACTGATGAGCCTACCCTTCCCATTGAAGCTTTCTTCCAGGAGCTTGCTAAGAAGAACTGAAACAGTCACTGTAAGTGACTTGCTCGGAATTATTCTCGATTTTTTCAACAGCTGTACGATATAGTATGAATTTGTCTTAATTTGACAAATTTTCAACTCTTTATATGGCATCGAACGTGTAACGTCGTATATATTTTATACTGTAACTATTATATGTATCAACCGAATTTTGTGATACTTTTACAAACAACTGGTTTTCATAGGGTTTGGAATTATTTATTACTAATAGCCATTAATGATTAATATTAGTTTGTGTCTTCCTTTGTAAAAGTATTATCAAAAAAATATATCAAACAACATTGTTCGTAAAATGTTCTTCACTACCAATGATAGAACAACTTATCCTACATCTAAAAAAATTTGACAACCATAATAGGCTAATAAAAGTTACCTATATGAGTTTTGTCAAATTCTACGTTGACAATGATGAAACTGATGGAAAAACCTTATATCTAAGGTACTATATGTAGATTAAAATAAGCAGAATTGAATGATATGATTAACGTAAAATTATGGTACAATGAGATCCCAATTGTAAATTCTCACATGGGCATGACTTTTTCATTACTTTAGAGTAGAATAACAACTATGTATCTTCTTGATTCTTACTAAGAAAAATAACAATAATAGTTACTTTTAACAATTCAAATCACTAATTTTGAAATTACTATTTATTTATTACGTCTAAAAAAAATTTTCGGAAATCATAATTAAAAAAGAATGTGATAACTCACCATGAATTATTTATTCAAAATATTTATTGTCGTTTTTAAATCAAGGAGAAGGGAAAAACTTATGTATATCAAACTTGTGCAATAACCGAATGTTTTTAATATCTGCATATAATTTGCATTGGATTTTGTAATAAAAAAAGGGATACAACTGATTATCGTGGAATGTAAATATATTATAGTCGATTTATTATATTAGCGTTACTCTACGATTCACCAAGTGTTTTCTTTAAAAATGTAGTTTATGTTTAAAGTCACACTGAACTATGCAAATCTGGTTATAATAAAATCCATGTGTTATATATTTATCATGGAAATGAGAAATGGCAATTTCATATGTACATTAAAATAAACTATTTTATGTTTAAATAGCGAATATAAATTGTAAGCTTTTATAATAGCTTTTGTATAAAACACAGTTTCTTTATGTAGTAATTTTAATGAAATACATTCAGTTTTATACTTCAATCATCATTATAGTTGAACTTATTTCTTTTTATTAGAATAGCCATCAAAATCATTGAAATTGGTTTTAAAAAATTTCAATAGACATAAAGGTTTTATTCATATTTTTCAAACACAAAAACTTTCTATTAACAATTTTTCCATTGTAACTGAAATTAACTACGCCAAATCAATTATACGCCGTCGAAAATTTCAAAAGATATACCTTAATATTTACTTATTGTACCAGAAATGTTTAGCAATTCGAACAGTTCTTTATCTCAACCCAACGCAATATTCATATATATATATATATATATATATATATATATACCTAGTATCCGGACAATTACTAATCGGCTCCAATTTTGGGAATTTAATATAGAAAGTACTTTTATTCAATCATAATGGATTGAAAGTTATGAAGTAATTCTCAATTTCATATTAAACTTTAATTTTCAGTATTTTTCTTTCAAAAATCAATATATATATATATAAATTATTTTTTGCTAAAATATTTGAATCAACCGCCCTTTATTTCAAACACCGGCATGATGTTATAGAAATTGAGGCTTGGGGGCTTGGCTCCGGAAGCCGAAATATTATTCATTGCGTGAAATCAACACAAAGAAATCTGCTTAGTATCGTGTAAACATGAGATTTTATCTCAAAATGTTTACAATTATTATTAGTGCTCTTGTGTTTATTTAAAGATTAACTTAACTATATAAATATGGACGAGTATGAAGTCTTAATATCGCGTATAGAAACAATATCAACAGCGATTCAAACAATAAAGGAAAGTTTGACATGTGGAATTTGGTGAGTTTAAGTATTTGTATTGTTTGTATCAGATCTTTTAATTACTATTCGTGATTCAGAACGTAGGTTAAGTTATGTTGAGATATTTGTTTTCAAAAAGATAATCTTTCTTATATGTACATATATACCACTAGCTATTGCTATTCAACAAGTTTCCTGGGCTGGTATAAACTTAAAAATTGAAAATGTATTTGTCATTAATGTTTCATTCAATTCTTGTGTATGATGTTTCATTCTTAATTCTATCCATAAAAATTAGATGTTAGCCTTTTGTTTTCATCAGCAACTCCCTCATTTTGACAAGCTTATGATTTTACAAGAATAATAAATTAGGTATTATACAAAAAACGATTTGTTGACTAATAGTATTTTATTCTATTTACATTGCTGAAACAGTTTTTATAATCACTTAGGTATTAATAAGCTAAATAAAATGTAAAAACATAACAGTGTACAATAATTAGTTTTGTGTTTTTTAAAATATAAAATATTTTTCCAGCTTAGAGTTGTTTAATATACCTGTAACTATAAAATGTGGACACAAATTTTGTCGTTTATGTATTTTAAAAGTCACAAACAATGAAAATTCTTCTTGTCCTTTTTGTAACACAAAGATTCACAAAAGGTCAATACCTAAACAAGGTAATCCTGTATTCCAAAGAAGTGTGGAAAAATTAGAAAATTTAATAAAAGCAATTGAGGTAGATTCTGGTATTGATGGTAAGTTAATAAAACTATTTTAAACGTGGTAAATTGATATTGAAATTAATTAATATCTTAACTTTTCATTTTAATCTATCAACTATTAATCTGTCATAAATGTGACATTTGTAATATAACTTATTAACTTGTTTTTTATATTTACTTCTTTAATTTTATGATTTTTTGGTTTCAGTATTATATTCATATAATAAAGCAAAGAATACAAAAGAAAGTCCAGTAGTATACAGTAAGATAAATACATCTAAACTTGAAGATATTGCATCAACTTCCAAAAGATCATCTTTAATATTTAATGAGACATCAACTGAAGCAAAAGTTGCCAATTTAGTTAAAAGTAGATTATCTTTAACAAAAGAGAAAGCTGACATTGAAAGTCCAAGTCAAAATTCTAAAGATGATTCTTTAGATAAAGATTATTTATCAAATAAATCAGATTTAAAACATGACAAAATTGTACAACCACAGAAAAAAGTAAAACGTTGGCTGGAAAATTATACATCTGAGGATATAATAAATGGATATAATAAATCTGACAGTATAATAAAAGATACTATTCGAGAACCAAATGAATCATTTGAAAAAAAATTAACTACTGATCAGGCTGGAACTCTTCCAGATCAAATTTACTGTAGTTCTCCAAATAATAAAATAAAAGAATATAATGCAAGCTCTGTACCTTTAAGCAAAGAAAGCTCAAAATTCAAAGAAACTGAGATAAGGATACAAGAAGCTGAAAAAATGATGAAGAAAAAGAAAATGAGTTTGAATGCTAAAGAAAATGATAATTTAAGGACACCTAGTTCTGTGCCTATCACATCGCAATTAGATACTTGTAATTGGCGTACCGTAAAACAAGTAGGACGAGAAATGCAAGTAAAAACTTTCAAAACTCTAAATGTTAGCGTTGAAAAGTATCCTCCTTCAGTGGCTGTAGATGATACAGTACTTTACAATTCTACAAATAATGATAGCAAAAGTATTTTACATGACTCTAAGACAAACAATACTTCTGCTGATAAAACTCCACCTCCAACAAATACATGCTATTCATTGAAATCTAAAAATGATAATCGATTAAAGAAAAGTTCTCAAATTATCATAGAAGAGTATAAACGGCGCTCTATGGACTCAACAGATTCTCCAAAACCAAACTGTATTACTGGTTTTGATGTGGATGAGAATCGACTTAATGAAATTATTGGGGTAGTGTCATCAACAAATGTTTCAAAGACATTAGAAAAATCTACGACTTTATCAACAGAATCTAACGAATCAGATTTGAATTTCTTAATAGAGCAATCAAGTCCATCAGAACACAAATTAAGTGAGCAGAAATTGTCAACTGATGCATCACCTAATTCTAATAACAACACTACAGCGATTTATTTACTAAACTCTTCCTCAAAGAAAAATCAGTTATCTCTAAAGAACTTGAAAAATAATATCAGTACAGAACAAGTTTCTGTGTCTGATAATTTAGGTAAAACAGATCATATAGATAAAGAATCTTCATTTGATAAGAGCAATAGTAATAAACAAGAAATATCATCAATCAAACCTTCTTTGTGTAATATCTTAGTTAAAAAAGGCTCATCTTCAATAGCAAGTGGTTGCCGCGTTATATTTCAAAAATTGGGTAAAATTTGTAAAAAGAGAAAAAATGTGCCTTTCCTTTATCTTGGTAGATTAGAAAATGAAAAATGTCTATTCGTTAATCGTAATTTATGCAAAAAATCCGGTATTGTAGTAAAAAGTAATATACCAGTTAGTATGAATTATAAAAGTTCACTCAATGATAAAAATATAACTAATTTAGAATTCTCTAATAAATCAGATATGAAATTAAGTTTATCACAGAACAATGTGCCATTAAAATCTCCAACCAAGCCTTCTACTATCAATAACTACAGTGAAGCAATGAACATAGATGAGAATTTAGATGTTCAGAAGACATGTCAATCAAATCAACAAATGGAAATTGATGAGATGTTGCCTACAGTCGAAATGGTTGTGAAAAATAAGAACAGTCTTAAAATAGAAAATTCTGCAAGTCCTATTGATTTAGAAAAAGTAGAAGATTTCTCACTAAAAATATCAAAAACAGAAAGAAACTTGGAAAATGAAGACTTTGAAAAAATATTACCACAAATTGATGAAACTATACCAAAGTCTCTTAGAAATATTGATGCAGGTGATATTTCAAAAAATTCTAAAACAGAGTTAGAAAAACCGGATTCCGTTTCCAAGTCTTCATCAAAAGTTGATAAAGTAGAGAATTTAATAAATTTTAACCAAAAGAAATTATCAAATAGTAAAGAAAGACTGGAAAATATTAATGTTAGTAAAGTACCAGAAGATTTAATTTCTATTAATGTAGATAGTACGGAAAAAAAATTTCATAGTACGAACAGAAGGCTAAAAATAGGCAAGGGAAAGCTCAATGAAACATGTCGAAAAAACACACAAAAAATAAATATATCTGATGTAGAAAGTTCTACCGAAAGTGAAGCTTCAGTTACATTTGGAACAGAAGGTGAAAAAATTGTTAAGGATAAGAAAGACAGATATTCTAGTGCCTTATATTTTTCTTTTAAAACTACTAGAAAAAAGAAAAGAACGCATTCAGAATCATCGGATGAAGATGTGAACCATATACTTAAAAAATGGGATCATAAACCAAAAATATCCTTTGATACTGAAAAAGAGCAAGCAATTAAAAGACAAAAAATATCCATAGATAGTGAAGAAATTATAAATAGAAATGCCTCTAAAGTAAAACGCAAATCAAGATACTCGTTTTCTTCTTCGTCTTCTGACTATGAAGGAGAAATATTTAAAGATAATGAACACGATCAAAATTCAACGGTTAATGGAATGGTATCGAAAATAAAACAAAATACAGAAGTTAACGGTAATAAATTAACAACTATACCTAGTTCATTGTTGTCATCAAATCTTTTTGAGTCTAATGGACGATCTATACTACCCATGCAATCGCTTAAAAAACAGTCTAATGAATTTACTGTTCAAAATACTTCGACTATGGATTCTAATAGCGAGAAAGAAAATATAAGTGAAGATTCGCTGGAAAATATCACAATAATTGATGCAAAGCAATCGAGTAAAAGAAAATCTGCTGCTTCGAAAAATGTAGATTATGATAATAGAGAAAATAACCAGTGTAATCAAACATCCCGCTTCAAGAAATTAATCAAACTCACAGAAGGAACTGCAGATGAAATTGAAAGCTCACAAAACGGAAAAACGTCCATTGTTCTTAAGAATATAGACAACGACGATAAAGAAAATAATAAACAAAAGCAAACAACTAACTTCAATAAATTAATGAAAAATCCAGAAGTTCATGTAGATGAAATTGAAAGTTCACAAAAAGACAATAATAAAACAGTTGATAATTTTGAATGTGAGTCAAATCCCTATTTCGTGCGTGAAAGTCTTTTAAATATTACACAAGAACAGATTGCCTGTAAGAATATTGAAAAAGATCTTTTTGGCATTGATTTGTCAAAAATACACGAAAATAGAAATGATGACCACTTGGACAATGCTAAGAGCTGTACTCCTTGTAGGAAGGTATTTTATATTAATCATTAACGCTTATCTTTCTTTACTTAAAATGTCATAGTTTTATTTTTTTTTTCCTATTGTAATTTTTAGTCGACAACTTTTGAAGAAAATGATGATTTTGACAGTGATAGCATTGCACCAACACCTGTTATAAAAAGACGGTACGTACAAACAATGACTATTTTTAATAATAATAATTTATATAGATCATTACGATATAAGTGTGAGAAAGAATTTTTTGATACAACGTGTGGAAAATTCGTTATTGAACGCATGTTTCAATAACATATTATTGAATAACATATAATAACATATTATATGGCCGAGTATGCGAAAAGTTCGTGCTTTCCGCAGGGAGTGTCGAAAAAAATATTTTTATTGATGTAAATGTAATATTAAGGTTGTGCTTTCAGACATACATTACGTTTTCCATCGCCAGAATCATCTCCTAAATCAGATATTCATGAATCTACTATGTTTTCACCTGTCAGAAAAATGTCTCTAATACCAGCAATTACGCCTATGAAAAATACGAACTCGTATCCCCTATGCCATAGCACACCAATGGTCAATATGGACAGTCCAGACAGTCCAGATAATATAACTCATCCTCAAATTGAAAATATAAGAATAGTTTACACTAGTTTGACTGTAGAAAATATACAATTATTGCAGACGTTTGCAAGCACATTTAATGTTCAATTAAAATCTAATTTTGACTTGGGGGTGACGCATGTAGTTGTAAAAGTCGATCCGTTGACTAAAATTGCTCCAAAAACTTTCAAATATATACAGGGTATTGCTTTCAAAAAATACGTCGTTAGCTTTGAATGGATAACTGATTGCCTTGCTAAGAATAAGTTGTTAGATGCCGATGATGAGAAATATGATGTGTTGGATCCGGATATTTTCAAATCTGGCTGCAGAAAATCTCGTCAAAGTACTCAAAAGTTATTCAAAAACTTTGTGTTCTGTTGTTTTGGGTTATTCATGAAAGTTCGTTTAGACGAATTTAAAGTTGGTATCATTTTTATCATTGTTCTTGTAATTTTCATCTTAAATAATTGTTTATTTAAATATTTTAGGAATTATTAACTTACACCGGTAGTATAGTTGTTTCATCAATCAAAGAATTTAATTTTCACAAAAATAAATTAAACATTATCATTATTGAAACCGAAGATTTTAATGATAAAGGTAAGTTAATAAATATTTAAATATCTCATGTAAATTTTATTAAAAATGAATTTAATTTCAAAGCTGTAGACATTTTGACTAAAGCCGATGCAGCAACAGTACATCTTGAATGGGTTGTTGATAGTTTGAGTCAATTTCAACTTTTATCGATCCATCCATATCTGTGTGGAAAATCACTTGAGAAAGCCAAAAGTTTAGGATTTCCTCCAGAACTTCTTGTAGAAGAAGATACTTCAGAGGAAGTCGAAGATGACAATTAATATGTTGATTATAAAATTCGACGGCATAAGGAGTTAATGATATTCTTACTAGTATGTAATTATTTGTATTTAATGTTTCTAAACTAATCCTTATTTACATGTTATTTATTACATAATGAAAGATATTGATAGATGCGATATTAATTCGTGTAAAATATTGTTCGTTTTTATTAGCTTGTCGAGAGATTCTATTGTTGAAAATATTTCCTAGTATTTCAAATTTATGTAAGTAGCAGGCAAACATTTTTTTCGTTTTTGACTTTGAACTGTATTCTTGAATATATAGTTTATAAGTCTTATATAGAAACCAACATCAACACTCGCTAATCCAATTTGTCATGTGACTTTAAAAAAAATCTAAGGCAAGATGCATTGCTACAGTTCAATCCTTCCAAATTGAAATTAATAAATTTTTGTCAAAATCTAGAATGTATATATGAAGCTCTACAACCTAATTAATTGCTTTTTATAGTTAGATTTAAAATGTCATGAAAATATGTTTAATCGTACGTTAATTTTCTATGAAATGATTCTATCAATAAAGACTTTGATAACCCAATTGTTGCATTTCTCGAGATTCGCACGTAAGTCAACTTTCAAAAACTGCTTATCCCGCATAAATTTACCGAATACAAGGCTTAGGAGAGAAGTTTCAGACGCGGCAACCTGCCAATTACATGAGTTTAACCTTTCCCAAATTAACCCAACGCTAGTTACATATAATTATCAACTCTGTCTATCGAACAGAACCGACGTAGTTGCCGAGTAAGTGAGCTTTCCGCAATGAGCTATCGAGCTGTTGGCACTAACATATGTAATCGGTCTTCTTAACTACTCTCAATAAAAGGCGCGCTATGCATTACTACTTTGAATTTTAGTATGAAATACGTAGCTTTTATTGGTTTCTTTCGTAAAAGCACTGACCTGTGACTTTACCAGTATGCGTATTTGACAATATAATTTGGAATATAAAGATATATTGTATGAGGTACTGTTGTATCTTGTCATTCATTAAAAGAACGGAAGCCATCGAGTCTTAAAAAGGCACGTCGTGTCTGTTGCAGTTAATTACTGCGTATAGGTATACCTAAAGCATTACTACCCTTTCACATTTAAGGGTTCATCTGTTGGTAAATATAGTTGTTGTTAAATGAGTATTATTACCTGTAATCCACTTAACGTATAGCCGTGAAAGCTCTAGTAGTCGTGTTCCACTGCTATCGGATATACACAATGGCTCGACCCACCTGAAAGCACTGTAAACCACTGAAACTCGTGAAAGTTAGATTACTAATCATTTTGAGTTCTAGCTCTCACTCTAACTATGGTAAATTTATTACATGTTATTTTAAGCCTCATTATTATATGAATAAGTTTTTGGATTTTTTGTTGAAACATTTGAATTTCCTCATGATAGTACGATAAAACTTTTATAACTGCATTTTCTACTTCTCGACTATGAAAGCTTGGAAAATATAATCATCGCTTTTAACGCGATAGAAGACAATTCCATTCGATTATGTTCGAAGAAAATGAAATTTCACGATCACATTAGCCGCAGTAACTTAATAGCTTTTTCCAAAAAGCAATTGTACTTTGAGTATTTCATTGTGCAGTTACGTTTATGTAACGGCCTTTTCATTGTGAAATCATGACACGGATGTAATAGCGTGCATTTTGCCCCAAGCTCGAAGTGGTTTCGCACGTTTTGTTACTTCGGCTTTAAGATCCCACTAAAGTTTCATAAAATTACGGAATCGGAAAAAAGGTGAGCGATAACTACTATCTCGGTAGACGCGGAATGGCGCAAAAAGAAAAGCCTTTCGCTATAAACGTAATGTTCGAGGAATATCACGCATACGCAAAGGACGAGGAAAAAAACGAGTGCCGCGTTAAATCCACACGGTGAAGTAGGGGTCACAAAAAAGGCGTGTCCGCGAAAGTGCCATAAAGCGCTCAATCCGGTTTTCCTTTTCATTTCTCTTCTTTTGCGAAGGACACAAAGAAGGGGAAAAATTCTCTATTGTATCCCTTTCCTCCGCTTAATTCTCTCTCACTTGAACACGCGGGCCGCGCGAACGTGACCAGCACAGGAACACCTGCATATACGTATAATTATGCTGGGCGACGGTGCAGCGGCCTCGGTGGCGCCGGGTTGCCGCGCGCGTCGTGAGAGGGCCACGCCTTTGAGCTTGTAGCCAGGCCTGCAGCCTGCGAAGCTAGAACCGATTGAAAGACATACAAGTGCGCGGGCCATCGAGCGACCAAGATGGATGGCTTGTCGTCCGCGGACTGAGATAAAACGCTCGCGGATAATGAAAAGCACAAAAGGAACCGCGTGGCATAATAACGGTTCATAGCTGAGGCAGAGACGTGAGAAAAAGCACGTGCCGCGGTGAGGATTCTACGGGATTTTAACCGCGCGCGTTATATCGATTCCAACGTGTCAGTTCCTTCTGCGTCCTGTACGCTTCTATTTCGTGGGTCTATTATTAACTCCGGGCATCGTTTTGTTGCGGATGTCATGGAAAAAGCTGCCACGTCGACAAAAGGATTGTACTATTTTTTCGTTTGGTACGAGGGAAACTGTCGAAGATCACGACAAAGAGGATTAACCGAACGTTGTTTTCGCGGAAAAAAGAGAATGAAATGGTATTAATGGTGCAACGCGCTTTCGTTTGTACTTGGAAATAGTGGAGCCAGAATGAATGGTAATGCGCTCGAATGAATGAGTGCTCATTTGGACGTTTTCACTTGTTGCGACTAATTTAATTTGCACTTTGATAAAGACAGGAGTCTCAACTACTGTGTCCTACTTTCGTTTTAAGAAAAATTAGAAACCCTCGCCTCGTTGCCGCTAGCTCGAATTGTTTACATTAATTTGAGAAAGAGAGAGAGAGAGAGAGAGAGAGAGAGAGAGAGAGAGAGAGAGAGAGGTAGGAAACAAAAGCACATTGCCGTTAAAGTAAGTCGCTAAGTTTCAGCAAATTTTCTTCCTTTTCTTTCACATTTTTTCTAAACTTTTCAATATATCTTTTTTTCCTCTCCCTTTTGTACACGCGCTAAATGTTTTAGTAAGACCAAGGTTTTATGGCGCGCGTGTACTTGATAAGAAAAGCAGAGCTATTTCATTGTGCAACTTTGACTCCCCCACCGACGCTATAGCATAATGTCGTTTCACGCGAAATTTGTTAAAATGCACAGTCGCTCACAGCGTAAAACTTATATATATATAAAGCATATGGGTCTTCCTTTTTTATTAAAAAAAAAAGAAAGCACGTGCGCTTCTCTTTTCACGGAGATTTTCATTTGTTCGAGCCTCCAGCTTTTGTAAGCATAATAACAAGAAACTAAATTTTCTCGATCCCTTTGAGCTTTTTTTTACTTGAAGACTAATATTATCAATATTCAGATAGTCCTCAAAGACTGGGCCTCTGTCTATGCGACGATCTTTTTTCGATTTTTCTTTTTATACTGAACTGTCCAGGAATAATAATGACTGTCAATTTGCATATCATTTATTCGCGCTCACGCGAGGAAGTTAATTAAGGCTCGATATTCCTCGATAAACGTGTACAGCCAATTTGCTATTGTATTATTTATTTACAAATTACTTTAAAAAGATTATACAGTATATCAGCGACACATAAATGTAATAATATTACATAATTACTATATACCTGTTCATAAATACGCTGTAAACACTGTGTGTGTGCTTGTGCGCGCACGCGTATGTGGTGAACAGACTTTACAGAAGAGTTTTGTGGTGCTGGTAATACAGACCGCAACTCGTAGCTCTCGTTTAACTGTCGAAATCCGACTTTTTCAACTTCTTTGAAAACTCGAATTTTTACCTGGAAAGTTCAGAAAGTAGAAATTCTTAAGAAAGTCCAAGGAACCATTCCGTTGAATAAGTATTGTCGCCTAGGCATAAATTCATTTTATTTTTTTAGATAAAGAAAGAAAAAGGTTGTTCATAACTGAATTGAGGTCGAAAACAATACTTTTACAGTTGTTTAAACAAGTAAAAAGGATATAAAATGCATAAAGTTAGATGTCCTCTAAATATACCTATAATGTCCTTTTCACTGATTCAATCTTGCAAGTAATTTAACAATTATGTCCCACAAACGGAAACTTTGAATTTCCATTTTCATAGCTTTAGTTTCCCGGAAATAAGCTTGCGCTACATTTCCACTGTCTGAAAGCACAACATAAGGACCGAGATTAAAATGTTCACTACCTACTGTATAAGTCCCTTTTTTTAACCGATTAAAATAACAGAAAATATTTCCAAGAAAAAGAATATTTTCACAGTTACTCGGCTATTAGATACGTTAATACATTAAATAAGTATTATACTTCGTTTTTCTGCTTCTTTTATGATCGTAAAGATTGTTCCAACATACAACTGGACCACAAAAAAAAACATTACACGTTTTGAGAAAAAATCACACGCTCACATGTACGTCGAAGAAGCAAAGGAAGCTGATTGCATTCTCAAACTTTCAAAAAATATTCTACAGGCAGTACGCCGTCAACGTCACCACAACAAATAGAGAAATGTTTATTTCTCTCTCTCTCTCTCTCTCTCTCTCTCTCTCTCTCTCTCTCTCTCTCTCTCTCTCTCTCTCTCTCTCTCTCTCTCTCTTCTCTCTCTAGCAAGCTGAACGTATGAGAAAAGAAAAGTTTACTGCCAGACAGAGCCTTTACAGTATCTCTTACTTCAAAGTACACAGAGCGTGCAGCAGCTAGTTGTCCGTGCGCCACTGCAAATAAAACTATATTTACACAGCAGTTGCTCTTTTTTTTTCTTCTCTTCATCCGTAAAACTATTACGCACCTGCGACGATAAAGTTTTTTTAGTTTGGTCTACATAGCGTCGATGCGTTTATTCATTTTATCTGCACTGAGCTTTCGCTTGAAAACAAATTCAATTATAACTTTGTAAATTTTGATCATGCGACGAGACAAATTAAGGATCAAAGATAATCTGCAGAAGCCCCTTTTCTCCGCGAATCGCATTATAATTTTGTTATATTAGCACCTACATTATCTTTAAATTTTTAGCTCATATTCGCATCACTTAAGCTTATTACCCTTTGCGCAAGTTTGATTTAACATGTTGTAAATTAAGAATTCCGTTAGAATCTCTGAAATAATCAGTTTGAGAGAGTGAAGCAGTTTGAACATTTGCGAAAGTTTCAAAATGTAGAAATCGACATTTCATTTCCGACTACATCAGCAGACCTCCAACACAAAAATAACTTTTTAGCGAGTCTGTCGAACTCCCTTTTTACCTTTTTCCAGGGGCCATTCTTTACATTCACTAATAAGAGTACAAAAATGGATATCCAATAAAAAGTATAATAGAAAAACTCATTGTTGTTCGGAGTATAGTTGTCTTTAATAACAATGCGTCTTTGCCCCCTTCCCCCACTTCTCTCTCTCCCACTCTCTTATCGAATCAATCTCCAGCGTCGAAACAATTACACGCAAGTGGATGTGCAACAAACAACAACAGCAATAAGCAAAAGATATAACATTCATGT